TATATATATATATATACTTATATAATAATATCTAATATAATATATATATAAAAGATCAATAAATCTAATCTGTAGATCTAGAATAGAATTTTTTAATAGCATATAACCATTTCACTCAACAGTTTAGGATAGGGAGTGAAGAATACCATACCCAGTTGAAAGTGCAGGAGGAATTTAGGTAATTAGAATATACTTACCGAAGTTAGAATTTGTCCAGGACACCCATCAGCACTCCTGCGCTTATGTGAAAACAACTACAGACTTTTTTCAAATAAAGTTTAAAAAAATTAAATCACCCTAGATTACTTGTCAAGTTGCAGGCTTGAAGAGATGTATATAACCCAAGTTCTAAAATCATGAAAATACGCAGTTTTTAGTGGAAATGCTGACACAGCGGTAACACTACTGACACAATGGCTGCATATTCCCACTTGGGGGATATGGCACCTCTGGCGTTCAGCTGCAGAATTTTTCTAGTGAGCACTATGTTTTGGGGCTGCTTGCTCCTTCCCCTCCCTTGCAAAGGATGCCAGGGGTATAAAAGAGCGAGTGGCCCAACCTGTTGCTTTTTCTTTCAGTGAGCTCAAATCACGCCCAGTGTCTTCAGTGCTTTTCTTGACCGTTTCTCTTTTGATTTTGCCTTTTGGGGCTATTTTCTTTCTAGTTAGATTAACAGTTAGTTAGCAGAGTCTTTCTTCAGTCCAAAAAATAAAGAAACGGTACAGCAACGGTATAAGGCAAACTGCTATCTGTAAGGTGGCATTGGCATTATATCAACCCTTTTCATGCAACAAAACCCAGCTCTGTTATGTCGCTCCAATTAATCACAAGTATCCACAAGATACTTTGCTTTTAAAACAGCATTAAAAAAATTGAGAACGCTGCTAACCTGTCCTAACTGTCTCAGACATCAAATCATTCATGCAAAAATGTCTGTATCTAGACTTTGGTCTACAGACAGGATCCTTATCAGTATAACTGGTGATACCTTTTCTCCAGGCCTTTGTATGGCCTCCATAAGATTATTTACAAAGGGAAACATACCTTATTGATGCTACTTACACCTGGGCCATTTGAGATGCAGAAGGTAAAGATAACACATGTTCATCACGAGATTCCTTCCTTTCTTACTATCGACAGGGATATTTCCAGATGGAGTAAGATGGTCATCTTGTTCTCAACCCTTTTATAGAATATGGTCACTGTTGGAAATTAAAGCTTCTGCTTTAGGGTTCTGGAGTTGAAAACAGTTTGTCTAATCTGTAAGACTTTCTCCCATTGATCAGGACCAGAAACTCATCTGCCAAAAGTACCAGTGCCTGTCTCAGGTCTCCACCAGGTATTATATAAAGGGAAAATCCAGACTAGGCCTATTCATTACCAAGCCCAACACCCCTTATCTCAAGCTCTACTTCAGGGTCAGACAAAAGCCAGTGTCACTGGCAAAATCTGTTTCTCAAATGGAATCAGAAATTCCACTGCATATTCCCTCTAGTTCCATTGGTTCCAGAGATCTGTCTGCAGATCAGATGAGACTCAGCCAAGATGTTGCAATAACTGTAATAGAATCTTGGCAGTTTGTTTCAAGTGTCCTGTGTCTGATGTTAGCACCACTTTCCAGATTACTAGATCTTTGTGTTTAGGTTGGATTAAGACTCTCCACCTGATCCTGAATTGTCCAGGTTGATACCCTGACTTCTAGATTTTTGAACAATCCAGGACCATATTATGAATAGCAGGGATTGTGATTTCAGCTTCCTTCAGATGCCTGGGACAGTGGGCCTCCCTCACTTTGTAATACCCTAGTTTATTGAAGCATTTCTCCATGGACCAGTAGGGTTGCTTACTGCTTTGCCTTCATGACTGCACTAAGGAATCTGGATTTCTTTATTGTTGTGCTGTGAGTATTACAGTGGATGTTGTTCATTCCGGGGTTATTCCCTATAGTGTATGAATTTCTTTTCAATTGGAATTGGAGTCTTCTTTCTCAAAGCTCTCTGGATCTCTGGTCTTCTATTTGTCAGATTACACTGCTCTACAGCCAAAATGCTTCTGAAATAAATGTAGTCAAACTTTACTAATTCTGGGTCATTGAGAACGAAAATATATCTTTGACTGGATCTATGAATAAATCTATGACTGGGTTTGGACAGTACTTGCTTTTTAGGCAAAACAATGAATGATGCAATCTGAAGCTGGTATTGCGTCATACATGATATGAATTGCGTCATGTTATTCCTAGAAGTCGTGGATGATGCAATCATAACGAAGCTTACATCACTCTGCTGAACAAATTGCCCTATATCAGCTCTAGAAATCATACAGTGTCGTGCTCTCTTATTTCTCAGTGTTTGATTTTGCAAAGGAACACATTTCTGTTTAGCCAAAGTGAGCAGAGATGCCTCGTACTTGTGTGAACAGTACAGATAACTTCTGCTATGTTTGTGGTGAAGTGACTTTTGCATCACAAAAGCGCAGTATAACCACTATGGATAAGAAAGCCTATCACCTTTATTTTGGCTGCAAAATTGGAGATCAGGACAAGAGGTGGGCCCCACACATATGCTGCAA